AAATTAGCTGGTGTGGTGGCATATGCCTGTAGTTCCAGCTTCTCAGGAGGCTGAGGCAGGAGGATTGCTTGAGCCTGGAGATGGAGGTTGCAGTGAGCCGAGATCACACACCATTGCACTCAGCTTGGGCAACAGAGTGAGACCCTTGTCTCAGAAAAAAAAAAAAAAATCAATAAACTTAATTAACCATATTATCAAACTAAAGAAGGCAACCTACATGGCCATCTAAATAGATTCATAAAACACTTTTGAGCAAATTCTAACTCCATTCCTGACAAAAACCCTCGGCACACTAGGAATAAAGGCAAATATTATGTCTTTATATAAAGAATATATTAAAATCCAAGATCTAACTTCACACTTGCTGGTGAAAGACTGATTGCTTTCTAAAGACTAAATGATTTTTCCTAAGATCAGAAACAAAGTAAGGATGTCTGTTATCACCAATCCTGCTCAACATTGTACTGGCAGTGCTAGCCAGTACAATAAGGCTAGAAAAAGAAATAAAAGGCATAAAGAATAGAAATAAATAAATAAAGCCCTATTTCCAGACAAGATTATCTATATTAATAACTTCTATTCTTCAGAAAACATTCTTAAGAAATAAAAAGGCAGGCCACAGATTAGGAGAAAAACTGTCCTTTATCTTGACAGTGGTGTGCTTACACAATTATATGCATTTGTCAAAACTTGCAGAAACACTAAATAAGGGTGAATTTAGTGTATACAAATTCTATCTTAATTAGAAATTTCTTATATGATTTGATGTATGGATCTTGATTGGAACCCATGAAAAGACTTTTTGGAATAAATTGGTAGAAATTTGGATATTAACTTATTTCCATTCAGTTAGTTTAGTAAATTATTGTTAATTTTAGGTGTGAAAATGATATGGTTATGTAAAAAAATTCCTTTTTTAGAGTGTCACACAAAGTATTTACAGGTGAGATGTCTGGTGTCTGCAATTCACTTTCAAATACTTCATCTAAAAGATAAAGCAAATATTGGAAGAATGTTAACAATTATAAATATATGGGGTTATATTTTCCTGTATATTTAAAATAGTTCATAATTTAAAGATGTTCTGAAGCCCCTTGCCTAGGTTTCATACCCCAGCTTTGCCATATTTAGCTGTGCAACTTTAGGCAAGTTATGTAAGCATTCTGTACTGCAGTTTTCTCATCTTTAAATGTGGATGATAATGTTATGTACCAATATAGTTTGTGGGGATTACTGATTGAATCAACAGAAGTGAAGGACTTAGTTCTGGAAATATTGTAAACTGAATGTTGGCTTTCAATATAATGATTACTGTTACCCATTCAGCACACTTTGAGCACTAAAATGACCAAGGCTTAGGTTATGCATAGAGCAAAATGATGAATAAGTCAAAGCTCCTATCATTGATAAGATTTAAATATAGTGGGACAGGTGTATATTAGCAACTGAGTATAATGTAATAACGTCTAGAATAAACATCTGTACAATGCACTAGGCAGCATGGAGAATAGAGTGATTAACCCAGTCTCAGAGCATTAAGAAAGACATTTTGGAAGTTGAGGAGGGAGGTGAAAAAGACAGGGAAAATAAAGACTACCTACAGTTTTTTGTTGCTGTTTTGTTGTTTTTTTAAAAGCAGATTGAAATAAAAAGATCTTGGAGATTCAGTTTAAGAAAAGGAATTGGGCACATACATTTGCCATCCATTTCCTTGCAAACCTCTTTAAGTGACAGTGGGAAAGTATAATCAGGCCAGGCATGGTGGCTCATGCTTGTAATCCCAGCATTTCGGGAGACCAAGGTGCACAGATAACTTGAGGTCAGGGGTTTGGGACCAGACTGGCCAACATAGTGAAACCCCATCTCTACTAAAAATACAAAAATTAGCCAGGCATGGTGGTGCAGGCCTGTAGTCCCAGCTACTCAGGAGGCTGAAGCAGCAGAATCACTTGAACCTGGGAGGTAGAGGTTGTGGTGAGCTGAGATTGCACCACTACACTCCAGCCTGGGCAACAGAGTAAGACTTTGTCTCAAAAAAAAAAAAAAAAAATCAGTGTTTAGTTCTTACACTGGTCTCATATGAAAACCAGGTAATTCCTCTCACCCAGAATATCACACATTCCCATCCTGGACCCTCCTTATGAGACAGGGGCCAGAGGTGGCATTTGCTAGGCAACACTAACCACCCCACAGCTTCTTACCAGCCCCATGGAATACCATCAGCATCCCCAATATAAGAATTAGGTACTCCATCCCAATTAATTTGCCCAAAGAAAGAAGAAATCCCAAATGACTATCTCACCCTCAAAAGTAGTTACCTCACCTCCTTCAATTCCTTGCTCAAATGTCACCTTCTCAACAAGGTCAACCCTAACCACCTTATTTAATACTGCAACCTGCTCCCTCCTTCTAAATCTCTACTGTACTCTACTTTTTATTTTTTCTATAGAAAATAAAATATTGGCCAGGTGCAGTGGCTCATGTCTGTAATACCAGCACTTGGGAGGCTGAGGTGGGTGGAGGATCATGAGGTCAGGAGATCAAGACCAACCTGGCTAACACGGTGAAACCTCATTTCTACTAAAAATACAAAAAATTACTGGGCGTGGTGGCACACACCTGTAGTCCTAGCTACTCAGGAGGCTGAGGCAGGAGAATCACTTGAACCCGGGAGGCAGAGGTTGCAGTGAGCCGAGATCACACCACTGCACTCCAGCCTGGGCAACAGAGTGAGACTCTGTCTCAACAAAAAAAGGAAATATTATATAATGTTTTTAATTTAGGATATTTACTGTTTATTGTCTGTCTTTACCTCCTAAAGTGTGTGTTCCATGGAAGACAAGGTCTTTTTTTTTGTTCCCTGATGTATCCCTATTGGTATGGAGTAGGCACTCAATAAATGTTTGTCAAATAAATGAATATGTTCTCATAAGCCAAATAATTGTGAAAACCACTGTATTCATTTCCTACTGCTACAAATTACCACAAACTTAGTGGCTTAAACAATGCACTTGTCTTATAGTCTTATAGTTCCAGAGATGAGAACTCCAAAATGAATTTCACTGGGTAGAAGTCAAAGTGTTGGCAGGACTGTATTCCTTCTAGAGGCTCTAACGGAGAATCCATACACTTAACTTTTTCCAGCTTCTCACACACTGTCTGCGTTCCTTGGCCTGTGCCCCTTCCTCAACTTCAAAATCAGCACTGTAGAATCTTCAACTTTCTCTGTCTTCTGCTTCCATCATCACATCTCCTTCTCTCTGACTGATTCTCTTGCCTCCTTCTTTCAAGAATCTTTGTTATGACACTGGGCTTGCCTGGAGAATCCAGATAATCTCCCCATCTCAAGACTTGATCACATTTTCAAAGTGCTTTTTACTATGTCAGGGTGAGACTCTGATTCACAGGATCTGAGGATTCGAATTTGGACATCTTCAGGATGATCATAAATCAGCCTACCAGAGTCACTTTCTAGGTGACCCTGGTCTTCCCCTTAAAGCCTAAAATAACAGAGCCAATAGAGAACTTGGAGATGATGTAGTTTCTTGGTTTCACTCAGCCAGTGCTCCCACTCAGGTCCTCATCCTCAGTATTCCCCGGCATTCTAAATGATCTTTCTGTGTCTAGTCTTGTTCTTCCAAATTCATCCTCTATTCCAGAGTAATCTTAAATAAAGAGTATATTTTTAAACATGTGCAATAAAAATTGAATACAGGAAAACAAATAGAAAGGAAATAATAAATGCCAGATTTAAACCTAAATGCTCAAATTTTTAAAAACTGTCTAACTGTATTAAAATAAAAACCTATTATATGTTCCTTTCAAGAACTTCGTTTGCTGAGATTGAAAGTAAAAGAATGGAAAATGACATACCTTTTATATGCATCAGTTTTTCATTGCCAGGATAATGCCATGTACCAACCAGAGACAAAGTATTAGCCACATTTAACAATAAGAGTTTATTGCTTACACATCTGAGCTAGTGCATTATCTGTTCTGCCAATCTGTTCTGCCTCAGCTAGAATGACTGGGATGAGTTGGCTTTGCTTCACGTGTCACTCAACCAGGTTGACCTGAATATGTTCTCATGGTGATGGAAGTTATCTAAGAAAAGTCCCAAATGCAAGTCCATTTAAACCCTCTGCCTCATGGGATGTCTGTTCACATGGTTGAGCCCAAAGTCAAAAACCACCTCATGGTAGGTGGGCACAGTAAAGTTACATGGAACACAAAGAATGTAACTAAGGGAAGGGTGAAGAGTTGGAGTCAAATAATATAATCTACCTCTCTATATTACCAGCAAAGTTAACCTTGAGGTATAAAAGCATTACTAGAGACAAAGAGGGACATTTCATAATGATGTATAATTTTTTTTTAATTTGCAATTTGTAGGTACCCCATCACCTAGTCTCTAAGGGAGGAATGGACAAATGCATAATAATGGTGGGAAATTAAGCACACCTTTTAAAAAAAGAACAGAATAAGCAGAAAAAAGGTCCGTTAAGAATATAGATGACTGTGAAACTTGATTTAAAAACTAGTCTTAACATTTATAGAACACTGTACTAAACAAATGCAGAATGTACTTTTTTTTTCAAATGGACATGGAACATTTATCAAAAATGATCATAATTGGTTTTAATAAACTTTAAAGAATTGACATCTTAAGAATATATCTTCTAACTACAGTGTAATTTAGCTGGAAATCAGTAAGGAAAACATAACTAAAAAATTGCACATTTGGGAATTAAACACATTTATAAAAACCTAAGTATGGGTCAAAGAAAAGTAATCACAATGGAAGTGAGAAAAATCTTTTAATTGGTTAACGACTAAACTGCATATACCTAGAACTTGGTGTGACTAATTGCAGATACTGGGGTGTCCAAGAGCAGACGTTATGAACAAAAAACTCTATGGGAGGATGGTATGCTGCTTGGACTACTGAATAAAAGGCAGCGTTTTTACCAGAATAATTACCACCACCATTGTCTACATACCTGCAGATATTTTACTTCGTGTCTACGCACCAGCCAGGGTAGCCAAGTTTACATTAAAATTCCTAATATTTAAGGTGAGATCAATAAACACTGTTTCCTTCCCAGACTTCTCTGAATTCTACATTCATATATCCGACAGTCTTCTGAAAGCTCCATTTGGATTTCTCACAGACACCTCAAAGGCAGTATGTCCAAAACTGAACCCTCCTGCAATCCATCCCTCCTGCAATCTGTCCCATCTCAGTAAAGGACACCGCCATTCCCCTGCTCGTGAGGTCAAAAACTCAGGCGTTGCCGGCTAGGATTGGGATAGTCGAAGCAGTCTTATCCCCTTCGCCATGCACAACTAGAAAACTAGCAAATACACGAAGCCACTGCTGTCAGATACTGAACAGAAGGTCCAGGCCCATGATCCTCCAGAGGGGACACAAACGACCCGACAGAGTGAGTGAACGCATCAAAGGGCCTCAGGTTTGGCTGCTGACTAAAGATACTAATAGAACCTCCTGTTTCTGGTGCTGCTTACGTTGGAAGCAGGGAACTGGACACATTTACTTACGGAGACTTCCCAGTCCCAACCCAAATCCAAGCTTCACTCTGGAGGAGACCAACGTCTCTTAAGATGGAGGCCTGGCTGGAGGGGCAGCCCTAGGCAGGCTGGGTGGGAGGGCGTGGCCTGGCGGGGCTGTGGGCGTGGCCAAGGGCACTGTGCCAGAGCAGGGCTGAAGCTAAGGCCAGATCCCCAGCCTTGGCTCAGAGCCCCACCTTTTAAATGTCCGGTAAGATATGCTCTCTTTGTTTTTGGTTTGGTTTGGTTCTTACAGAAAGAACTTAACTGTAAGTTTAGTCCTTGTTAATAATTTAGTTCAGGCATTCACTACTTTTTCTATCGCAGTTATTCATAAAATTGCCATATATATGGCAATTATATATAGAGTATACATATAAATATGTATATGTAGATGCAATTATATATAGATGTATATGTATAAATATGTATACATCTCTCTCTCTCTCTCTCTCTCTCTCTCTCTATATATATATATATATATATATATATTTTTTTTTTTTTTTTTTTTTTTTTTTTCCCCCGAGACGGAGTTTCGCTCTTATTACCCAGGCTGGAGTGCAATGGCGCTATCTCGGCTCACGGCAACCTCCGCCTCCTGGGTTCAGGCAATTCTCTTGCCTCAGCCTCCTGAGTAGCTGGGATTACAGGCATGCGCCACCATGCCCAGCTAATTTTTTGTATCTTTAGTAGAGACAGGGTTTCACCATGTTGACCATGATAGTCTCGATATCTTGACCTCGTGATCCACCCGCCTTGGCCTCCAAAAGTGCTGGTATTAGAGGCTTGAGCCACCGCGCCCAGCCTTTTTTCCTTTCGAGATGGAGTTTCGCTCTTGTTACCCAGGCTGAAGTACAATGGCGTGATCTCCGCTCACAGCAACCTCCGCCTCGTGGGTTCAAACAATTCTTCTGCCTTAGCCTCCCGAGTAGCTGGGACTACAGGCATGCACCACCATGCCCAGCTAATTTTTGTATTTTTAGTAGAGACGGGGTTTCACCATGTTGGCCAGGATGGTCTCAATCTCTTGACCTCATGATCCACACGCTGAGGCCTCCAAAAGTGCTGGGATTTTAGGCGTGAGCCACTGTGCCTGGCCTCTCTCTCTCTCTCTCTCTCTCTATATATATATATATATATATTTTTTTTTTTAATTGCATTTTAGGTTTTGGGGTACATGTGCAGAACAGGCAAGATAGTTTCATAGGTACACACGTGTCAGTGTGATTTGCTGCCTTCCTCCCGTTCACCCACATCTGGCATTTCTCCCGATGCTATCCCTCCCCAGCTCCCCTGTCCCCCACTGTCCCTCCCCTATTTCCCCCAATATACTCCAGTGTGTAGTGCTCCCCTTCCTGTGTCCATGTGTTCTCATTGTTCATCACCCACCTATGAGTGAGAACATGTGGTATTTTATTTTCTGTTCTTGTGTCAGTTTGCTGAGAATGATGTTCTCCATATTCATCTATGTCCCTACAAAGGACACGAACTCATCATTTTTGATTGCTGCATAATATTCAATGGTGTATATGTGCCACATTTTCCTTTCAGTCTATCATTGATGGGCATTTGGGTTGGTTCCAGGTCTTTGCTATTGTAAAGAGTGCTGCAATGAACATTCGTGTGCATGTGTCCTTATAGTAGAACAATTTATAGTCTTTTGGATATATACCCAGTAATGGGATTACTGGGTCAAATGGAATTTCTATTTCTAAGGCCTTGAGGAATCGCCACACTGTCTTCCAGAATGGTTGAACTAATTTACACTCCCACCAGCAGTGTACAAGTGTTCCTATTTCTCCATATCCTCTCCAGCATCTGTTGTCTCCAGATTTTTTAATGATCGCCATTCTAACTGGCGTGAGATGGTATCTCAATGTAGTTTTGATTTGCATTTCTCTAATGACCAGTGATGATGAGCATTTTTTCATATGTTTGTTGGCCTCATGTATGCATTCTTTTGTAAAGTGTCTGTTCATATCCTTTGCCCATTTTTCAATGGGCTTGTTTTTTTCTTGTGAATTTGTTTTAGTTCTTTGTAAATTCTGGATATCAGCCCTTTGTCAGATGGGTACACTGTAAAAATTTTTTCCCATTCTGTTGGTTGCCAATTCACTCTAATGACTGTTTCTTTTGCCGTGCAGAAGCTGTGGAGTTTGATTAGGTCCCATTTGCCTATTTTGGCTTTTGTTGCCAATGCTTTTGGTGTTTTGGTCATGAAGTCCCTTGCCTACTCCTATGTCCTGAATGGTTTTGCTTAGATTTTCTTCTAGGGTTTTTATGGTGCCAGGTCTTACGTTTAAGTCTTTAATCCACCTGGAGTTAATTTTAGTGTAAGGTATCAGGAAGGGGTCCAATTTCTGCTTTCTGCATATGGCTAGCCAGTTTTCCCAACACCATTTATTAAACAGGGAATCCTTTCCCCATTGCTTGTTTTTGTCAGGTTTATCAAAGATTGTATGGTAGTAGATATGTTGTATTGCCTCCGATGCCTCTGTTCGGTTCCATTGGTCTATATCTCTGTTTTGGTACCAGTACCATGCTGTTTTGATTACTGTAGCCTTGTGGCATAGTTTGAGGTCCAGTAGGGTGATGCCTCCTGCTGTGTTCTTTTTGCTTAGAATTGACTTGGCTATGTGGGCTCTCTTTTGGTTCCATATGAAGTTTAAGGTGGTTTTCTCCAGTTCTGTGAAGAAGGTCATTGGTAGCTTGATGGGGATAGTGTTGAGTCTGTAAATTACTTTGGGCAGTATGGCCATTTTCACAATATTGATTCTTCCTAACCATGAACATGGAATGTTTCTCCATCTGTTTGTGTCCTCTCTTATTTCTTTGAAGAGTGGTTTGTAGTTCTCCTTGAACAGGTCCTTTACATTCCTTGTTAGTTGTATTCCTAGGTATTTTATTCTCTTTGTAGCAATTGTGAATGGCAGTTCGTTCTTGATTTGGCTCTCTTTAAGTCTGTTATTGGTGTAGAGGAATGCTTGTGATTTTTGCACATTGATTTTGTATCCTGAGACTTTGCTGAAGTTGCTTATCAGTTTCAGGAGTCTTTGGGCTGAGATGAGGGGGTCTTCTAGATATACTATCATGTCGTCTGCAAATAGAGGCAGTTTGGCTTCCTCCTTTCCCATTTGAATACCCTTTATTTCTTTTTCTTGCCTGATTGCTCTGGCTAGAACTTCCAGTACTTTATTGAATAGGAGCGGTGAGATAGGGCATCCTTATTTAGTGCCAGATTTCAAAGGGAATGCTTCCAGTTTTTGCCCATTCAGTATGATATTGGCTGTTGGTTTGTCTTAAATAGCTTTTATTATTTTGAGATACGTTCCATCAATACTGAGTTTATTGAGGGTTTTTAGCATAAAGGGCTGTTAAATTTTGTCAAAGGCCTTCTCTGCATCAATTGAGATAATCATGTGGTTTTTGTTTTTGGTTCTGTTTATGTGGTGAATTACGTTTATAGACTTGCCTATGTTGAATCAGCCTTGCATCCCCAGGATGAATCCTACTTGATCATGGTGGATAAGCTTTTTGATGTGCCATTGCAATTGGCTTGCCAGTATTTTATTGAAGATTTTTGCATCTATGTTCATCATCGATATTGGCCTGAAGGTTTTTTTTCTTGTTGAGTCTCTGCCGGGTTTTGGTATCAGGATGATGTTAGTCTCATAAAATGATTTGGGAAGGATTCCCTCTTTTTGAATTATTTGAAATAGTTTCAGAAGGAATGGTAACAGTTCCTGTTTGTGTGTCTGGTAGAATTCGACTGTGAACCCATCTGGACCTGGGCTTTTTTTGTGTGGTAGGCTCTTAATTGCTGTCTCAGCTTCAGACCTTGTTATTGGTCTATTCATAGTTTCAGTTCCTCCTGGTTTAGGCTTGGGAGGACACAAGTGTCCAGGAATTTATCCATTTCTTCCAGGTTCACTATTTCATGTGCATAGAGTTGTTTGTAATATTCTCTGATGATGGTTTGAATTTCTGTGGAATCTGTGGTGATTTCCCCTTTATCATTTTTTATTGCATCTATTCGGTTATTCTCTCTTTTCATTTTTATCAATCTGGCTAGTGGTTTGTCTATTTTGTTGATCTTTTCAAAAAACCAGCTCTTGGATTTATTCATTTTTTTGAAGGGTGTTTCGTGTCTCTATCTCCTTCAGTTCTGCTCTGATCTTAATTATTTCTTGTCTTCTGCTAGGTTTTGAGTTTTTTTGATCTTGCTTCTCTAGCTCTTTCAATTTTGATGATAGGTTGTCAATTTTGGATCTCTGCACTCTTCTCAAGTGGGCACTTATTGCTATATATTTTCCTCTAGAGACTGCTTTAAATGTGTCCCAGAGATACCGGTATGTTTTGTCTTCATTCTCGCTGTTTTCGAAGAACTTCTTTATTTCTGCCTTCATTTCATTGTTTATCCAGTCAACATTCAAGAGCCAGTTGTTCAGTTTCCATGAAGCTGTGCAGTTCTGAGTTGGTTTCTGAATTCTGAGTTCTAACTTGATCGCACTATGGTCTAAGAGACTGTTTGTTATGATTTCAGTTGTTTTGCATTTGCTGAGGAGTGCTTTACTTCCAATTATGTGGTCAATTTTAGAGTAGGTGTGATGTGGTGCTGAGAAGAATGTATATTCTGTGGATTTGGGGTGGAGAGTTCTGTAAATGTCTATCAGGTTTGCTTGTTCCAGGTCTGAGTTCAAGCCATGGATATCCTTGTTAATTTTCTGTCTGGTTAATCTGTCTAATATTGACAGTGGAGTGTTAAAGTCTCCCACTATTATTGTGTGGGAGTCTAAGTCTCCTTGTAAGTCATTAAGAACTTGCCTTATATAACTGGGTGCTCCTGTATTGGGTCGATATATATTTAGAATCATTAGCTCTTCTTGTTGTATTGATCCTTTTACCATTATGTAATGTCCTTCTTTGTCTCTTTTGATCTTTGTTGCTTTAAAGTCTATTTTATCAGAGACCAGAATTGCAACT